GTAGTAGTAGTAGTAGTAGTAACCTCTCGGGAGGCCCTTTCCGACAGGTTTTTTTAGGGGTCTATCGGGTTGTGTTGGGTGCTCTGGTTGAGGACCTGCGTTGTCAATGCCATGCTTCGCGGTTCTACATTTTTACATTTTTTTTGAGATTGCACATGCGGTTTATGAAACAAATGAGCTTAAAGTACCTCACTGAAAATACATGAACAATATTAAGATCTGTATATATATATATAGAGAGAGAGAGAGAGATTCCTGCTTACTGGATATTTGAAGCCGTTTATGGGTAAAGCTGCGCAGCGGGTTTGGTGCGTATGTAAATGCCTTTCTGGGTGTGAATGTGGTCTTCAGCTGTATGTGCAAAAAAGGAGTTGCGCATGAACAGCTGCGATTGCACAATAGGGGTAGTCAAGTCTGCCTGAAAAGCTGGGACTGAGGTATTACGCCGTGATTTACGTATGGATTCTGGAGCTGCAGCATGCCCTCTCGCAGTTTGCGACGATGTTTACAACACAGCTCTGGTTCTTTCGAAGGTCCAGGGGTGATGCTCCCGCAACTCCCGCCCGGAGTGCTTGTGACATGCTCCTGGGCTACCGAGTCGGACTCTTCTATCATTTGGGGTCCCTCCTTTTCGGATCTCTGCTCTGCACCTTCCTGCGCCTTCCGCAACTCCTGGCCTCCATGGTGGTCCAAGCAGTGGAAGAGCGCAAGAATCCCGTGAGTCAACTTCTCCAGAGATCCTGTCAGTGCTGTGTCAGACAGGCAGAGAGGCTGCAGACTACTGTAACAAGCCTGGGGTATTGCGACATTGCCATGAATTCTTCAGCATACTGTGCCGGATCCGAGAATGCAATGAGCATCGTCGAGGAGAACGGCACGGGGCTCTTGGCAGACAGAGTTGCCGGCACCATTTCCCTGATCGGTGTCGGATTGGTTTCTCTTGGAACAGCCCTTATTTCCTGGTTGCTCTGCAGCTCTTTAAGCCGCTACAACAGCGTAACCAGTGAGCACTATGTTGCGGACAAGAGAGCCGTGATGCTTTGCTCTGCCGTCGTTGGTGCCCTTCTGTCCTTACCTTTCATGCATTTGTACGATAGCATCTGCGACGCGATCATCTATTGCAAAGCCCTGGAGGCGCGTCGCTCGAACTCTTTCTTAAGGGTTGGCTGTTGGAATTTCTTCGGGCCTTGACAGTTCATGAGCAAAGCTTTATCTCATGTTGCCGTCCCAAAAGGGAGAGGCCGCCGTCCCTGAGACGGTTAAAAAAGTTCTGCATATGCACCGCATTCCAGGCTTTTCGCTTCTTTCTCAGCCCCCTTCTTCCTTTATCTCAAGGGAATCAGCAATGGACAAGAAAAGGAGGGCATGTTCATGTTGGGATACTTTACAAGTGCCGTAGGGTCTCGGTTTCAAAAGCACAGCCCTGTTCCTGATAAACCCACAGAGACACTGAAGGAGCATCACCCCGAGACCTTGTCGGCCGATCCTTTGTAGGCCGTGCTCTACCCATAGGCCTCATAGGTAGTTCCTTTCTGGGATTACCTTATAGAATTCTAAGTATGAACCCCAAAAAAGAACTACTCTGGGGCCTATGGGTAGACCGCAATCCGCAAAAAGGGCAGACGCCCAACCAGCAAAAGCGTGGCGCACGCTCTGAACTCCCAAGTGCGCATGGCTCAAGTCAGGTCCCGAAGAAGCTGCCAGAGATCCCTCTAAGCTCCGCCCATAGCAGCCGTGGTGGTCGTCGTCGTGATGGTGTTGTTAATGTAACGACAATTTTGGAAGGCAGAAGAACAGAGTGGCAGGGAAACTACGGCCGTAGGATCTTCAAAGGCTTCTGCAATACAAGACTCACGGCTCAAAGTCAGCTTGGAGGTTCATAGGTAGTTATAAGTGGGGTTATAATATGGGTTATACTTATAGCTACCCTACTTACAACCCCACTTATAACTACCCATGAACCTCCAAGAGGTGTTGCATGCTTTGTCTTTGTTCGTTGGAGTTCCGAACCCCGAAGGAGGTTTCCAGGATTCAGGGTTTGGCCGTCGCTGCCGTCACTGGGTTTAGGACGTACAGTGTCGGCCACGAGACCTATCCTGCGTTCTTGTTAAGGGGTTTAATTTTCAAGTTACCATGATAGGGATCTATAGCTATAAATGTGGCTTTCTTTATTATGGTAGCTTAAATTAAAACCTTGAACAAGCACCCAGCTTATCCTCTCTATTCTCTCAACTCCTCTTCTGGGTCTCTCCCCGATCCTGCTGGGAAGTAGGAAGGGTCGAGATTCTTCTTGCTTGATCCATCTATTGTAGGGGTCTTAATAATTTCAATAGTTTGGGGGGCGGTGTATTAGACTATAACTATAATGAGGAACCCCCAATAGTATTGGCAATTATTTAGGCCCCTACATGAGGAGAAGTTCAACTGCAAAGCTTTTCTGCGAAGCCGAAACATTCCTAGAGGCTCCACATATAGTACCATTATGGAATTAGGTACCCCAAACCAGAATGAGGATGGTCTTTTGGGACCTAACTCCATAATGGTACTATAGGTGGAGCCTCTGGGATTCTCATCCAGAAACCCTAAACCCTAAACCCTAAACCCTAAACCCGAAACCCTAAACCCTAAACCCGCTGGTCGGCAAACGTCTGGGGAGAGTTGGCGAACTTGCGCTTGCCGAGAGGCTCTACCCTATGATAGAC